CTGAGTTAGAGTTGTGCATGGCGAAACCCTTTCACTAATATGCCAACTGCATGAAGCAACAAGTGAAGCAGATGTCTGATGCCATCTCTTTCCTCAGCTAATGAGATTTGTCGAGTGGGGACCGAATTCTGCAAAGTTATGGGCTCTTGAATCGGTGATATTATCTACATATTTTGGAGATTCTGTGTAAAATATTACCATTCGGCCGTTTCGGTAAGATATGGTGTTGAATTAAAAAAGATCTACGCAAATCTGGTTTTGTTTTGGTCAAAACGTGCTGTTCTGGGCTAAGAAGCTAAAAGCATCCACAAAGGAAAGGAACAGTTGAATGAAAAACCAAGGCCTCAGCCTCTCCTGGGATTAGAGTTTAGAGTATAAGGAAGTATAAAGTAAAGTATAAAGTAAACAATCATAAAGAATCATATGCAAGTCCAAGCATACCAAGGAGGATACTGCTAATTAGCTCCAGGAAAGAGGAGTTCCTCATAAAGAATCATATGCAAGTCCAAGCATACCAAGGAGGGTACTGCTAATTAGCTCCAGGAAAAGAGGAACACGAATTCGGTCCTCCCATAATCTGGTGAGGAATAACTATAACTTTTAGAATGTGTGACCCCACTCCAGGTTTGCGCTTTTCTGGGCTGGCTAAACTTCAGCAGTTTGTCCAGAAAATGTGACAAGTAACCCTTTCACGAGTAATGGACAGGTCTACAGAATCAGAATGCTTGATTCGTCTCGATGTTTGACCAATGAGATTGACGAATTTAAGGTCATAGCTTAGTTTTGACAATACAGACGTAAGTGGCCCGTCAAGAAGAGACTGGACCATACTATGGTGGGACGGTTTGTGTACATCGACAACCCATTGAGCTATATTGGTGGTGTCCGTGCGGCACTCGCAGTGTCTCCTACGAGGGTGGTCAATGGTTAGAGGTCTGACGAGCAACGCCCCCTGGTCCTCCGGATTGGAGGTTGTAACATGTGTTCCGTAAAAATGGTAATGTTTTCGCAATTCCGCCAAACAGCGCTGCATTGCGGCCAGGCTTTTAAGGCTAGGGCCTGATCGTCCTTCTGTCTAGGTGTGGGCGCCCTGGCACTATCCCAGCCCACGTACAACCATGAATTGCACATATACAAATGAACTCATTCCACATCTTCCGTTGCGTGGTGCCATCAGCCGTGTCTCCTTACTCGCTGCAAACAGCCAACAGAAAACTGCTGGTGCCTCGCATCTTTCTCTTTCACCTACTTTTTCTTCCTCTTCTCCTCACTCTAACAATAGCTCTCCCCATGTAGTTTCAGCACTTAAGACTGATGACTGCGTTCGTCTTGAATTAATTTTGCCTGCAACATCTGCTCGTCACATGGTACCGACATTTTCAGGTATCTCGAAATCAATCTTCAAGCCTTGACTCCCAGTCTATCTGGCCGCCTTCAATGTCCGCACGCTGCAGCAAGCAGGGCAACAGGCTGCTCTTGATCTCACGCTAAACTCACTTGGCATTGATGTGTGCTGTGTCTCAGAAACAAAGATTCAAGATGCAGGCACAGTGATTGATCTAACCGTCCCATCAGTCTCCAACCGCTTCCGGCTACGCACCTCTCGTGATCCAGAGGCTGCTGCAGCGGGATAGGCAGGGTTTAGTATCGTCTTAAGTCACCGGGCGGAAGTATCTTTACTTGACTGGATACCTGTTGATAGTCGCCTCTGTGCGGTTCGTCTGGCAACGTCTGTGAAGGAGTCTCACAAGCGGCAAGTTGAT